AAACTAGTGTTATCAGATGGTTTGTCTTTGGTTGCCATGGAACCAGAGGCCTGTTCTGCCCTTTTGAGATGATAGTTGCATTTCGGGGGAAGGGTCCATAGACCCTCATAGTTGGCCCTTTGGTTAGGTGAAGGGGGCATAACAAGTAGTTGTGTGTCTGATTGCTCCAAATGCTACAATGGAGTACCTCAAGGCTCAGTACTAGGGCCGTTACTTTTCACGCTTTACATGTTACCCTTGGGAGATATCATCAGGAAACATGGTGTTAGCTTTCACTGTTATGCTGATGATACTCAGCTCTATATTTCTTGGCATTATCATGCTGTCTAATCAGCATCTTGCTATGCCACACCTGTGAGGTGGATGGATTATCTCGGCAAAGGAGAAGTGCTCACTAACACAGATTTAGACAGATTTGTGAACAATATTTGAGAGAAATAGGCCTTTTGTGTACATAGAAAAAGTCTTAGATCTTTGAGTTCAGCTCATGAAAAATGGGGGCAAAAACAAAAGTATTGTGTTTATAATTTTGTTCAGTGTAGCATTTGTAAAACTACATTTTTCCATTTAAAAAATATATCTAAATTACGACCTATGCTCTCAATGTCAAATGCAGAAATGTTAATTAATGCGTTCATGACCTCAAGGTTAGACTATTGTAATGCTTTATTGGTTGGTTGTTCTGCACGCTTAATAAACAAACTCCAGCTGGTCCAAAACGCAGCAGCTGGAGTTCTTATTAGAACCAGGAAGTACGACCACATTAGACTGAACTGAGCTGGATGATGACATCACTGAATTCAATGATGAACTGGCTTTAACTGAAAATTGAGTGTTTACTATTGTCATTTTGCATTATTGACACAATATTTTCCTAATTAATGCTGTAAAGTTGCTTTGACACAATCTGTATTGTTAAAAGCGCTATATAAATGACTTGACTTGACATGTCTACATACAGTACAACATTGACCTTTAGGAAAAGTTCATTTTCATTACCATACTGTAAAGTGATCTTACAGTAGATGAGAGGCCCTTGAAAAGTTTGGTATGTAACACAATATGCACAGAAAAATAAATAAATACATTTAGCATTCACAGCATCTTTTTAGCACCCTTAGCTGAGGGTGAAAATTATTGATGGATGCATTTGTGCAAATAAATGCTTCAGTGTAAACATGCTGCATTAGTCAGTCAGGCGTCTAAAGCTGTTATTGCTCAGTAAATGTTGACTGGATTGAGGTGATTCTACAGGTTTTGGACAATCCAGAATTGTAAGTGGACTCGGATCACCTGCACCAGGATTGAAGAGAGGAACGACTGATCCAGAGAATCTGCTGCTGATGGTCAGGAGATGTTTACTCTCTTTGACGTTGTAAAATGACAGCAGACCGTCATCATAATCGAACAGAACTCCCAGTCGTTCAGGTCTCGGTGTCAGTGAGAATCTAATCGATGGATCAGTGTTGGTGTAAAAGCCATGAGGACCGTCTGAACACAAGAACCATAAACCCCTTGATGGAGTTAAAGCAGATCTGTTATTTGAACGAAAATGTCCATGTTTCACCACACCAATTAGCCAATAGTTTTTGGGAGGCGTATTTGTTTGTGCCAACCCTACCTCCCAATAGTGACGACCAGAGGTGAATCTTTGGGCTCCAAATGCACATAATTGATATGGAAATCCCTCTCCTGTGTGCTTATATTCATTACTGTCCCTCACGGTTTTACAGTCTTTAGAAACCTTCAGATCTGGATGTAAACGCTCACGGTCAATAGTGATCTCAACTGTGAAGAACAAGTATATAAAGCAACCACTATTAATCTGTATGTATGTGTGATGATGATATTTGCACATATAAATGATGAAATGTATGCATGACTGAGATGATGTCATACCTGCATGTTTCCTTAGTTCTTCTATATTTATGTCTCCCACAACTAAAATAAAAATAAGAGAAAACTACATCTATAATTGAACATTTCTGGAAATGAGAAATTAGTCCAGTGAAGAATTATTAAGAGTGCAAAAGCTCATAGTTGATCCATCATCAATACAGACCAGGCCCCAACGGTTTGGCACGCATGCGATTTGCAGATTAAAGGGGTCATATGATGTTGCTAAAAAGAACATTATTTTGTGTATTTGGTGTAATGAAATGTGTTTATGCGGTTTAAGGTTCAAAAAACACATTATTTTCCACATACTGTACATAATTTTTTCTCTTATATGCCCCGCCTTTCTTAAACGCGTCGATTTTTACAAAGCTCATCATTCTGAAAAAGCGAGGTGTGCTGTGATTGGCCAGCTATCCAGTGCGTTGTGATTGGCCGAATACCTCAAGCGTGAGACGGAAATGTTACGCCCCTCACCATACTGTGATGCCCTGTCCGGCCGGAGCGACGAGACAAAAACATTAAAACCCATTATAAACGAGGCATTTGTTGCATCCAGTGGGGACATAATTACTGATTATAATGACTTATACTGTCTTTTTATGCGTTGCGTTGCATCGCGCCGCGTAAACATAAAACCATGTCTGCATTTGTGATCGGAGAAATGACAAACAACAAGTGCTACTCTACACTGCTCAAAACTCATGTTTGAATCATCAGTGGCAAATTTTTTAAATATAAAAGAAGAATAAAGTAAAATAAAAATAGTAAAAGTTATGCCTTCTTTCTTTGCGTGAACATTTGGGCGGAGTTATGCAAATCTTCCCACATAGTGACGTAG